TTTGCCCAAGTTCATAAAGAAAATGCTTAGCTGGGGCTTGCCCATTGTTTGACTGCAAACCCTCGCCCTCCCTACCTCATCAAAGAGAACAGCACTACAAGAAATACGGCATCTGGCAGAGCCCATTCCATCACAGAAGTGTTGACAACCACTCTCACAAAGCCCTTCTAGCTGACCCTGCTGTTCCTGTCCACTGGAACCGACTGCCCACTGTCCCACTATGACGCGGGCACCTCCCCTCAAGGGCACTCTCAGCCATGCCAGATCAAGGAGCCAAGTTCATTCTGTTTGTTTGCTAATCCTTTCCCATTAGAACTCGTGTCTAGAACCTGCCTTCAAGGTGACATTTTCCTGTTGCCAAAGTTATGTAACTGCACTAAGACATCAACTTGCCTGGCAGTTAAATCCAAAACCACAAAAGACTTCATTTAAACAGCAAGGGGCAAAGAAACTACCATAATTATTATTATTATTAACACATCCATAGAATAGAAGGAGGATTACTGGTTGCCAGGGGCTGGAGAGAGGGGCAATGAGTTGTGACTGCTAATGGAATGAGGTTTTCTTTTGGGGGTGATGAAATTGTTCTGCAGTTACACAGTGGTGATGTTTGGAGAACCTTGTGAATATACCAAAAACCGGTGAGTGGATTTTATGGTATGTGCATTATACGTCAAAACAAACACACAAGCAAAAATAATCACTAAATACTCCTCCTTGCTAGGCACTCACATCCTTCATCTTATCTAATCCTCATTAAGCACATATTCTTCCCATTTTCCAGCTCAGGAAACTGAGGCATAGATCTTAAGCAACTTGCTCAATATCACCCAGCTACTAAGTATGGACTGAGGACTGAGATGCGTATCTAAGCCAGGGCTCACCTCTGCATGCCACACTCCATGCTCCCAACATTCCAAAGCGTTAACATAATGAGTACAACCCTAGGACTCAGGATGGTTACTGAGAGTCTGTGGTAATCACAGCAATAATGAAAGACAAACTACAACAGAAGCTGATGATGTTAGAGACTAGAGATGGATCTACACTGGAGGGCACAGAGAGACTTCTATTATAACTCACCTATTTTGGGAGCAATTTCAAAAACATCTTAAAGACACCCCCCCAGTAGTCAGGCTAAAAATAATAATAAAGTCAGCTAATATTTATTAGGAAATATATTCCTATAAAGAGAGACCAAAAATTTTTCTGGGCAGCAAATGCATATTGATCGTTAACTCACATTTTCACATATTTTATGTTTAATATTTACAACAACCCTGAGAAATAGGACCTTTCTTCATCATCACACTTTACTGACAATCAGAAATTGAATGATTCTGATATTAGTCAAAAATCACCTTCTCTTCCCATAAAACAATTCAAGGAGGAATTAATGACTTCAGTAACCCAGAAACTGACTCCTTAAAATGTTGCTGTGAGCATTTTCATGATTAAGTTCAATCTGCCATTAAAGCAGGCTGGTTCCCTTCTGCCCAGACCTCCATCCCACCCCACCCCCACTGCCCCAAAACAGGTGAGTTTAATCACTTCAGAACATACAACGAGAACCATACAACTTATTCTAAATTCTTATTTGTTACCTGTGGGAAAGTAACAAATTTGTCATTCCTTTAAATGAAACGATTGTTCTCTTTTAAGTTAGGTTAAGGATTCATACCATAGCTGGGTGGTTAAGAAGATAATATTTAACAGATGATAATCTATTAAATCTAAATAGCCACCAGGTGGCAGAGAGTAACCATTAATATATAGTCCAGATAAAATGGTTTCTATTTAGCTTAAATGACTTTACCAAAAAGAATTAAGTTTACCAGGTACTTCTGGTTGTCTTGAAGCCATTGAAAGACTGGGATCCAGATGCTTTTTCTATATAGAATTCGGAGATGAGTCCCTGTCACCTAGTAAAAATAACAAAGGGCATTTTCTTATGGTAAACACCAAAGAATAGCTCCAAAGCTGTTATTTTCTTCTGATGGGAACACAAATTCCACCCTCCCCCCCCCCACAGAAGGCTTCCCCTAGGAAAAGGCACACAGAATTTTATGGATTGTACACAAAGTTAAAACATACAAGAGCTAGTGAGTGACAAACAAGCCAATGAAAACAGGATAAAGTCAGGGTCTGGCCACACCCATGGCTGATCTTAACCCCTGTGAGAAAACAAAGCCAGGACACTATACGTGGTGAAAAAGTCACCTTACCACAGTGAAGTTATGTGACGACTATGCGCACAGACAGATGTTAATGAGGAACATTGCCCAGCTGCTGCAAATCAGCAAACCTTCCGGGAAGAGTCCATCCAGGGGCTCTAGTAACAACAAACACCCAGCATTGGTACAACCCTCCAGAATGTGCCACACACATTCCCTCACACTCATTTATTCCCGGAACAACCTCGAAAGCCGTATTATGCTCATTTCCTTAACTCACAGCAAGGGCCTAGGTACAAATTCATTCTTTATTGTGGAAACTAGTATTTATGGCATTTTAGCTTGTCTTTTAACTCTTGCAGCAAGCCCCCTTCTCTTTGGATAATGCCTGATCCTCG